AATTAGCCCATTTATTTTGATCAAAACATTTATGACCACTTTAGTACATGGGCCCAATACTAAGATGTTCATTTCGCATTGACTTTAGTAATTCTAAGATGTTCATTTCAAGTTTACAGTTTGATATGCATTTTAGGCAATATTGACTTTTCTTCCATTTTCATAATTACATCAAGAGGAGGGGTACAAACGTCATTTCCTATTGTTATCAAGTAGATAACAATGACCATTAGGTGGACTCTTAACAGTCATAGCTTCAAAATACTGGTGCATCATCCATTACGGTTAAAAATTACAACATTTTCTACATAGCCAACAGCACACAAAGTCACTTTTGATGTCTATCTTAGTTTTACCCATAGGATCAAACATCGAATGGCTCCACTTATTTATTCATGATTTACAAAGTCAAAGGTAATCGGACCAGTGAGACTGTTGTTACCCAAGCCTAAATACTCCAGACCTTCCAAATGAAACAATGACCTTGGAATGCTTCCGGTGAAGTTATTGCTGTTGAGGTCGATGTGAAACAATTCTGGGTAATTCATCCAGCACTCAAGAATTTCTCCTGATAGAGAATTCTCCCGAAGCTTTAAATACCAAAGTCCTTGATTTTCATTCTTCACTTCACACAAAGCCTGAGAGAGACCTCCTGAAATTGAAGAACTCGATCTTCTTTCTTCACTTCACACAAAATGTGAGAGATGCCTCCTGAAAACAAATAGTTGGAAATTAAGTTCTAAATATGTCAATCAATGATAAATTAATTGGGTGTGTAGGCAATTGAATGTGCTTGATTGTTGTGTGCATATAAACCTTTTGACAGTTTTAGAGATATTTGAACTGTTACCATAAAATTAATTGTGAGAAAGTTTCACATGGACCTATGATGGGTTGAATAACCAAGAGGGAATAGCCATTGAATATGTTTGACTATAATGCACATATAAACCTTTAGTAATTTCAGAGATATTTGAACTCTTACCATATGGAGTTGATTGTGAGAAAGGTATATAGATCTCAATGATAAGTTGAATAGCCAAGGTGGAATAGTATCTGAAATTCCCGTGAATATGACAAATTCAAACCCTTAAGGATTTTTTGTGATCGAATCCATGTAGGAAATTGGGGACCCAGCTTCCACGAGCCCAATCCAAGTGCTTCAAATTGGGCACGAGGAGTCCAACTTGCACTTACTTTTAAGGTCAAGGAGTTTCCAGATGCATCAAAAATCCTTAAAGCTGTCAGATTATCTAGGTGGCCCTCACTCACAACGCCTTCTATTAAATTATCAGCAATAATAAGCTCTTCAAGTTTGGGAAGCTGCCAAAGACTCTCAGGTGAGTTTTGTTGTGAGATACATACCAGGACTCCAAGGATGACACAGTTTTCCTAAATTTGATGGAATTGAACCAGATAGAAAATTATAAAATAGCGAAAGTTCTTTGAGCTGGGTACAGTTGCCAACTGTGCTTGGAATTGGACCATTCAAGTGATTCCCTTGAAGGTTGAGAGAAATGAGATTGTTAAGATAGATTGCTAAAGTAGAATTCAATAATTTTCTTACAAGTGCAATTCAATCATTCAAAAGGAAGAAAATCCCTCGTCTCCCTTAACAAAATTTTATCTCATGTTTTATCTCATCTTTCTTTAGCTATGATAATGGGATTTTATTTCTTTGGTTGATAACACTCCATTTTCTTTATGGACTTTTTCAGAATTTTTCAATCAGATGAAGTGCCATTTCTCTTTGTACATCAATTATGCATGGAGACTGTAAGTCTTGTAAAAACTTTCTCGGGCTAACTTTCTTTAATTTTCATGTCTAGATTGTTTGTATGCTGTTCTATATATGGATAGATTATCTTAAAATAAAAAGGATCTATGATGAAACTGTTAAAAAAAAAAGAATAGGACATTATAAAAAAATATATTATCATTTATTCCTATACATCTAATAGAGGAGATTTATGTCTCTTTTATTTATATCGCATTACTTTCCAGTTCTTTTTTTGCATAGGAAATAAGAATCATATAATATTAAGAATTTTTATAGGAAATAAGAATTGATATATATCCAAACAAAAAAGGAGCAAGCCACGTAGGAAACTACTTACCGTCTCGTTAAGCCACGTAGGAAAGAGAAAATATGAAGGGATAAGTATGAGAATACGACTTTATTATATATATATATATATGATTTTACAACGGAATAATAACCAAGAAAACTATTTTTCAAAAAAAAAAAGAATAAAAAAAAGCATAAAAAACTAGCCGTTACGAGAAAACATCAACCAAACCCCACCGCCGCAGCTCTTTTAACGTTCAAAATGTTTTTTGGATTCTTATGTAAAACTCAGACAAACTCTCACATTTATAAACATCTCTTCACACATTTTTTTTTCTGCATCAGTCCAATCTCTCTGTCACTTTCTCTCTAAGCAAGAATCAATAATTCATCATCATCAGAAGAAGGGGGCAGCCCCTTTAATTCTCACTAGCCTCTTCTTCTTCTTTGACGAGATTTCTCGAAATTCCGGTTTGATTTGTTCAGAATTTTTGGAACCCTTTATATTGATTATTGTTTAAGCGTTGAGAGGTCGAATTTTTTGAGGTGTGAATAGTAAGGAATCAAGGAAGAAGGGATGACTACCACAATGAACAGCGAAAGCAGCAATAACAGCAACACCCCCGCGGCTGGTCCGGTGATGACGTCATCCAAGCAGCCAGTGCAATCTGCAAAGAACGTTGATACTCAATCTGTTCTCAAGAGGTACATTTTTTTAAAAATATTTTTTAGGGTTTTTATTTTTTGAATACGTGTGTAAAGAAATTTTGAATTTCTTGATTTGGGATATTAGGGTTTTGATCCCCTTAGAGTTAATTTAGGGGATTTGGTGTCTGAATTTGTGGTTTCTGTTTCGATTTGATTTCTGGACACGGGTATTAGGTGAAAGAAATAAAACGGTATTAGGTGAAAGAAATAAAACGTATGACATATTTCTAAATGTGTTTTCTTGGTCCTATGCGAGTCTATTAATTTAGCTTGCGTTATTTGGAGGATTTTTACTTTCTAATGTCTGATTTTGATTTAGCTAAGATCCTCAATTTTTGATATCAAACTCATATCCTGTTTGTTGTTTTCTCACTGTTACCTTTTCAATTCTGAAATCTAAAGCTTAATTAGTCTAGTTGGTTATGAAAAATTGTCAATTTGATGTCTTAAAATGGACAGAATACGTCCAAGGAAGGGTTTTTATGTATAAAGGAGTTGTTTATGTAACTGATGCTTGAACTTTTTTTTCCTCGTTAATACAGGTTGCAATCTGAACTGATGGCCTTGATGGTAGGATCTCTGATCCCTTTTAATCTTCCATTCGTGCTTCCATTTAGCAATGTTGTTGTTCTCTGTTGTTGGCTCCTTATTTGGTTGAATCTCTTTCCTTGACTCTGTTGATGAATGTACAGATGAGTGGTGATTCTGGAATATCTGCTTTTCCCGAGGAAGACAACATATTCTGCTGGAAAGGAACAATTACTGGTAGCAAAGATACCGTGTTTGAGGGCACTGAGTACAACACTATCACTTTCCTTTCCAACTGATTATCCATTCAAGGCTCCAAAGGTCAAGTTCGAGACTGGCTGCTTTCATCCAAATGTTGATGTTTATGGAAATATATGCTTGGACATACTTCAGGTATTAATAGACAACGTTTCTCCATAACTCTGCTATTGTCTCAAATTTTGCCTCAAAATTGGAAACCTGATTAATCGATTACATTATCTGTTCCAGGATAAGTGGTCGTCAGCTTATGATGTGAGGACAATTCTGCTCTCCATTCAAAGCCTGCTGGGAGGTAATCTTACTTGCCGTTGATGGTAGTTTTGCAATCGTTTTAAGAATCACGACAATTCTCTGATTTTTTTTTCTTTATCATTAATATAACCTGTGGATATTGCTAAATGCAGAACCAAACACAAGCTCACCTTTGAATAATCAAGCAGCAGCACTTTGGGGCAATCAAGCAGGTACATTTTCTGAGTTCTGACCATATTTGTATATATATATATGAATTGTCCTTTTTTCCTCAAATTGGCAATGGAAATTCTTTAACTGAATTCTGTTTCTGGTTTGCAGAGTACAGGAAAATGGTTGAGAAGCTTTACAAGCCTAGCTCCTAGATTTCTCATTCATATCGCCAAGCCCTGCAGGGTCCAGCAAGTGAAGATGCTGTCAGCTGATCAATAATGATAAACTCTGCTTTCTTCGGAGAGGAGAAAACGTGAATTGATATTGTTTCTTCATGTTTCTGTGATTCCTTCTCATTGTTTTTTTCCTTTTTTTTTTCTTAACAGCTGTTGTACTTTCAATACATACAAGACCAACAAAGATAGTTTGATTTTGATAATTAGTAGATGGCATAACTGATTTGTCCTCAAGTTGAATGCAGTAAAATGCAGAGATTTTTTTATATCCATCAATTGTTGTGTGTAGTCCATAATCAAATTTGATGGGACATATCTAATTTTGCTGTCCTAGGGCTTTGTATGCTGTTGTTTAATTCATTGGTTATTTTTATTGGTGCTCTCCTGACTAAAAAGATGAACTAATGACCTAGAACAACACATTAAAGATTACATGGTTTTGTTCATTTCTACTACCATGCATCTGGGTTTATACATACATATATATATATATATATATATATATATATGGCATTTATTAATCAGCAAAAGGTAGGCTAGAGGGGTCTCTGCATCAAAATTAACAGGTCAAGGTAGGCTAGAGGGGTCTCTGCATCAAAATTAACAGGTCAAGGTAGGCTAGAGAGGTGTCTGAACATTTACAGAAAGAAAGTTTCACACCCGCAATCCAGCAAAATTGTTGTCAAATGTCATTTTGGAAATTTGATGTTTGGTAAATTATTGCTAAGGATCAAAAAATGTTATCAAAATCGAAATGTTGCAAGAATGCAGTAAAGAGCATATCCGAAATCTCGTTGCCACTGGACAAAGAAGACAGAATTGGATTGACGATTTTCTGTCTGAAAATTTCCGACACCTGATTTTTAGGGGGAATGAACTACTTGTGTATCCGAAGTGGAATATTTGTTGTACAGAAACACCTCTGAAATCCTCTTCGTTTTCTATTCTTTTCTTTTCTTTTCTTTTTTTCAGGCTGAGCCACAAGTTTAAGATTGAAATGAACTAAGCATAACAAAGTACAAAATTTGGTAAAATATCGTAGGAAATGCATTAAAGAAAATGACTGAGAACAGAAACTGGTAGGCCGCTTAAAACCAAACTGAATTGCCAAGTTAGGATTTAGAAGATGTAAGCTGCCTCACATTGAACTTGGCCAATTCCTTGTACTTCTCAACCGATCCAATCAAGCAAACAGTCTGCAAAAGGCACAAAAGCGAATTATATCATGAGCATAAATCACAATCACTTTTGGACATGAGAATGTTGAAAATAACTCAAATTCAATGCAACTTTTAGTACAAAGTAATCACTTAGTCTTGTAGATGCAGATCAGCAACTCATGATCTGAATAACTAGTTTCCTTTATGAAGGAACTCTGTCCACATTTCAGAAAGAAATTTTCACAAAGTACTTAAAAATTTCTGATCATGCAGCTTTTCATATTATGTACAGTAGCATTTCTACGACCAAAAAAACCTACAAGAAGCCGTGCATGTGCACGTCTTACCTTGACAATTTGGACAACAATATGTATATCAGGATGGACATTCTGCAACCACATTTCATAGATTTATGTAGAGTTTGACATAAAATTTATCCTAAGAGATAGTCTCCAAAAAAATCAAAGGTTAAAATGACATCGACCTAAGGGTTGAAGGAGGAAAATGGGGCAAGTCGTATTAACTCTACTACATTCTAAATGACTTGGGTTAGTTCATGATGTTTAATTAGTTTGGAACTCTTTGAGACTGTCCACAGATAAATAAAGGAGGCCCAGGACAACGGAGCATGAAGTCATGGAATTATGCCCCCAGTTGACACAAGTGCTTTTACAGACAGATAAATCTAAAGAGCTCATGAAGACATCGAGAATCCAGTGGGGTGAGTAGAGAATTAAGTGATGTCCATCATTCTTTGGTATAAGAAAGAAAAACAATTTAAAAACAGAATGCATCAACAAAGGCATTCTTCCCAAGGAAAGAGTAAAAGATCATAATCTGCAGCTTCACAAATGATTTCTACTTACCTTACTTTTGTCTCCCAACTCAGCTAGCTCAGCTTCGATCAATTTATCAACTGATTTCTCCTCCATCTTAGAAGATGCCAAATTTGGGGACTTTGATGAACTTATTTCAACACACTGCTTTTTAATTGGCTGCTCTCCAGCTTCACCTTCTTGAAATTTATGCTTCTTTGTCACCTCCTCCTTACCATCTTTATCTTCTTGTATTTCCTCTTGAACAGACGAGTCGTCCTCATTCTGAGACCCTAGCTTTTCATCAACTAGAGTTTCACAATTAGCATCGGTTATGTTATCCGTACGTAAATCTTTCTCCTCTGTGCTCCTATGAATGTTATTGCCAATCCCGTCATCATCTCCATCTTCATCCTCACTACTATCAGAGTATACAAATTTAGTTTTCTTATTCATGAATTGCTTTGGTATTGCTTCTTGTTGTTTATTTGAACCTGCCCCATGCACATACTCTTCAAAGAACTGCAGCAAGCATGATTATGATAATACAATTAGCTCAGAGTGACATGATAAATAAGTAATCTTATGGCGAAAAATAATAACAAAAATAGACTTACTAAACAAAAAAAAATTAATAAGGAATAAAAAAGCAAACAATGATTTTAGATTTCAAATGTTAAAACTAGATAAATTGCACTAACCATGAAATGCATTTGAACAGACAGTTGAAGCATTAAGTTTGAGATGATTTTTGTGTTGAATGTCTCAAAACCATGCATAGCAAACATTAAAAGGGAAAATGGGTATGCCTGGCCAAACTAGACAAGCAATACCATGACAAGATTGAAATGTTTTAATAGTGGAAAATATCTCAAAGCCAAAAGTAGCATAGCAGGACTGGGAAACAGCAGGCAGTACAGTGCAATGCATAAAAGAAGGCAGAGAGTCTCCAATAAACCTTCCCCACAAACCACCCGCGCACACAACCCCCCCCCCCAAAAAAAAACTCCAAACCTCTTAGAAAACAGAAGAAAAAGAAAAGTTTGATTAATAATTGATCAACCAATTAAATGAAAATAAAATTCTAATTAAGAAGGATAGGTAAATCAGAATCCTATCTCTTTGACCCATTCTAATTCTTTTCAAATTTTTAAGGAAACAAGCAAAAAGATTTTATTGGTACATTTCCAGCTCAATTTACAAAGTCTAAATTATCAAAATGACCAGAAAAGATTGAACTTTAAAAAGGGCATCACATGAAGCTCTTCACCCTCTCCCTTGACACGTTGGGTGCAGTCATTACCTCATAGACACATCTGAAGCTATTACCACCATATACTAAATAATACAGCATTCCATTACCTCATAGACACATTCAAAGCTATTACCACCATATAATAGATGAACAATGGATCATAAATACAAGTCATTCTACGATTTTCATATTTTTATAATTTGAGAGGATGAAAAGAGAATTGAGCTCAAATTTTCACCACCTTTTGTTAATATTACATTCCATTTTCTGCTTTCGTTACATGCTTAAGGCAGTTCTGAGTTCTACAGAGAATAGCATGTCAGAAATTTTTTATAGCAATGGGTGACTCTTCTTTCCTGTCTGTTGTCCCTTCCCTCCAAACAAAGTATCGAAGATTACATTCCAAAATAAGGCAGCAGTTGGTAAAAAACCTACTAACTTTTCAGATTTTTTAGAGTTAACCCTACCCACTGTAGCCCATTAGTCAAAAGGTACTTTTTGTAAAGGTTTAGAGAAGAAAATGTATTAAATTTTATTCATACATGACTAGAGCTTTCTGTAATCCCTATATAATCGATATTAGTTGCATAACTGTTTCTTTTTTCTGGAAGCAAATGTGCTTGTATATAGGGTTATGTTTTTAGCTTATATTCTGTTCTCTGCTTATTTTTCATATATTTCTAGTAGCATTTATAAGTATCAAAAGAATAAAAGTATTAAACACCATGTTCTGCCTGTCCTCCCTCGTGAAACAACTGAAAGGACTCGTAAAAAAAATCAAGGTTTCTTAAAATCAACAAACATAAAAAAATCTTACAAATACAACAATCATAATTAAGGCCCATTGTTTAGTATTGGCTAGAGGCATAAGCACTCAAAGATCCCAACAGTATTTATTAAATACATCTATTTTCTCATTGGATTTTGTTGAGAAGTGCATCTGCAGTCATGCATGCCTTGCTGTATTAGATGTAAATATCATTTAAGGACAGCCAAATGGGAGTATACTAAATGTAACCATCAAACATTGCATCCAATTAAGCTGAAGCTACTGAAATAGCATATATTAGATAATTGTTCCTCATAGTAGAAACCCTGAATATATAATTATTCACTTCTTGCAAAGAAATCCAGTCCAAAAAGCAGCATTTTTAAAGTGCCGATTGAGGTCATTTGTCAAAACTACTCAAAACCAAACATTACCCATAAAATGCCACCAAACATTTTCAGAAGCACTTTTGTAAAGTATAAGTACTTCCTGGTAAAGGGACCACAATCTGTTGAATAGGATCTAAGAAGAGATATAATAAGACTACAACAATCACAGAAATACAGATGAACTAGTCATGACATATATCAGATTGGACCTTAAAAAAATAAACAGAATTTCCATTGCAGGTCTATTACTTAAAAGAAAATTGCCAAAACTGTTTAAGTTGGTTAGATCGAGCAAAAAAGGTTAAACCATAAAGAATCATAACCAAAGTAGATAAGTTGTCAAAACTCAGTCCAAAATAAGTAATGCTTCCCAGGGTGCACAAAAAAGAAGACAAAAATTGCACCCTTAAAGAGAAATTGTTGCAGCAACTACTTTTGGGACAAAGAGGGACTGGAGCAGAAATCCTCATAAACCTCTTAAGAAGATTTTCAGTTAAACTTACAATACCACAAAGATAATAGAGGAGGAAGATAGCAAAGATTATGGGCAATAAGCCCCGATGTAATATGGGCAAAGATTATAATCTAATTTTAGTTTCTACCCTAGGCGATAATTTGCAGAATCAAAGAGTAATCTTATAATAATTAGAGCTAATATGTAGAACACTTGATGTGGTATTCAATTTGGAAATACTTATTTTTTGGTTTTGAATTCATTTGACAAAAAACTTTTCAAAACTAAAGCAACATTATGATATTCCTTTTGGTCATGAAATGAAAGTAATCTTGTTACTTAGAACTTGCAATTACTTACAATGCTCATATGTTGACATTATTATGTGCACAAGTAGTTTGGGTAAGAATAGAAGTTTAAAAGGCTATCAAAAATGTTTAAATTGGATGCAATGCTTTACATACGGTTAAGGTAACGAAAACTTCCGCCAAGACGCATTTTAGGATAGTTAGTCAAGTGTCTGTTAGATTTCTGATTCGACTCTTAAGTCCTTTCTCTTCCCCTTTCACCTTCCTTTCTTTTTTCCTTCCCTTCTTGTAAGATTTGGACCTTTCGCTTGAGCCAAAAATATTTATAAAAAAAGAAACTAATTTACTCACTCCTTTTAATCATTTCCAAATATTGTGTTGAATATCCAAAAAAGTGACGACAAAGAAGAAAGTAACCAATTAGGATGTGATCAGATCATATTAATTTACAATTAATACAATTTTCTTTACTAGCAGATAGGAGTTTCCCTGAAGTCTTCTTCTTGTTTTTTTTTTTTAATGACGCATATATATTCCATAACCTTTGATGTCTTTCATATATACTTTAAAGTTCCAGTAAGCTCTGCTCAATGACTTGTATAACAATCTTATATGTAGATTTAAATCAACAGAATTATTAAGTTTATTATGTTTAATCGTCTTTTATGTAGGTTGTGTTGATGTATTTACCCTTGAAAATATGCGTCAGCATCAGTGACGAATTCAAAAGTTTAGTGGGAACGAATCATCAATGATATTATAGCAAATAAGGCATATTAAAAGCAAAATGAAAGCACAATAAATTATAATTAGAAGGAAGAACTTTTTTAAAAAAAAACAATGTATAAAGAAAAATGTGAAAATTGGGCTCTATGCCATTCTATTTACTGTCGGTGCAAGGCATTCAAAATCGTAATTGAAACTTCTTTAATTTGTACGATAGCTAGAATATACATATATATTTTTTGTTTTCTTTGTCTTTGATTTCCTATGTAACATATACAGTATTACCTTAGTTTCTATTGTAAAATTATAGTTATAAAAGAAACTAAGAGTTGGTTTGTTATAAGAAACTCGAAGAAAATAAAATTTTATATTTTTTATAATTGTTATTCAAAAATAATACTAACTGTATAGTAATGTAGACATGAATGGCATACTTTTATAAGGAAACTAATTGTTAGTTTGATATATGACACTTTATCAAAAGAAATTAAACAAAGTAAAGAAAAAAATAATTTTGTTTAGGGGGATAACATAATAAAATTTTAGTTGACAACTAAAATTATAGGGAGAATTTTAAAATTTTTAAAACTTTTGGAAGGCGGCTGCCCTTGCCTGTCCACCCTATGTCCGTCTGATAAATTATTTTGATACTACAATTTGTATTAAAGCATAGGTACAAAAGCAGGACAATCAAAACAGCTTTCATGTTCCTTTTTCTCCTTATTTTCTAGCTCTACTAATTTTAGTGCATTGTTACCACAAAAATATTAATCCGAATATATGTGCTTAGAACGAGTGAATTTATCTCTCGTAGCAATAGCTGGCTTTGAACAACGTAGTTTACACAAAAACTATAAAAAAATCCAAAAAAAAAGACAAAAGAAGAACTTTCCTCTCCCCAAATTCCAATTCTCATTTTAACTTGTTAATTTTATGTTTATGTAATTTTCTTCATAAATTGTTTCAAATCATTTCTGAGGTTAAAATTTCTCAATAATGAAGCCAAAAACGAATAAAAAATTCTTTTCGAAATCAGATTCCCGAGTCTTCCATTGTTGACTTGTCAATGTAAACGCTGCAAAAGTGAAATATGCTTTCCAAGCCTGATATTGATAGCCACATCTCCTGTCAAGCTTTCTATCAACTGTGCATTTCTTCCATCCAGCTCTATATATGAATCTGCAACATAGCCGAATGCAACGTATTTCTTCCGACATTTCACATGATCATCGGTGGATCAACCCATTTCTTTGTTTTCTTACTCGTCGCAATAATTTTACTCTGTTCTTCCATCAAAACTGTAAATGCAACTTGCTATGCAAGTGAGAAACAAGCTCTTATGGACTTCAAGAAAGACTTGGAAGATCCCTTTGGTAGACTCTCGTCTTGGATACACGACGTTGATTGCTGCAAATGGGAAGGAGTTGTTTGTAGCAACCGAAGTGGCCGCGTGATTCAACTTCACCTTCAGAGGCCTGTTCCTGAAATTCATGTCGTTGGTGATGAGGAAGAATCACCATTAAGCGGTAAAATCAGTCATTCGTTACAAAATTTGACTCACTTGCGTTACCTTGATCTAAGTCTAAATGATTTCAGTGGAATTCCAATTCCCAGTTTTTTTGGGTCTCTCAGAAGTCTAAGGTACCTGAATTTATCCAGAGCTGGATTTCAAGGAATGGTTCCCTATCAGCTTGGAAACCTATCAAGTTTACGCACTTTAAGCATAGGAGGCAATCCGTCCGATCTTCAAGTTGATAACCTGCAATGGTTGGTTGGTCTCTCTAATCTGGAGCACCTAGACATGAGTCGCGTGAACCTTAGTACGGCGTCTAATTGGCTAGAGGTGATTAACATAATCCCTTCCTTGGTAGAGATACATCTGCGCTATTATCAACTTGATTTAATTTCTCATCATCTTGACAGAGATACATTTGTCTTCCATGCCAACTTTTCTTCTCTTACTGTCCTAGATCTTTCTGAAAATTTTTTTGGACACCTCATCCCTAGATGGATTTTCGGTCTTACTGCCCTTACTTCCCTTGATTTAAGTTGGAACTCATTTGAAGGTCCATTGCCCAGAGATCTTTGGAACTTGACTTCCCTCGAGCACTTGGATCTTTCTTGGAACCAGTTGAATGGTTCACTGCCAGATGAGCTTGTTAATCTTAATAATCTCATTTCTCTCAACCTTGGGCGGAGTCGATTCGAAGGCTTCTTGGATGGAATTTGGAATTGGAGTTCCCTTACATCTTTGGATCTATCATTCAATAACTTCTCAACCTTCCTTCCAAGTCAATTATCCACTTTAACTGCCCTAATTTCACTTGATCTTAGCCTCAATCAGTTTCGAGGTTCTATCCCAAGCTCCATTGCCAACATTTCCAACCTTCAACGTCTTGATCTATATGATAACAACCTTAGCTCCTCTTTACCAAGTGAAGTATTCACATCGAAGGACTTGATTACACTTGATGCGGGTAGTAATCACTTTAATGGTCCAATTCCAAGTGCAGTTGGCAACTGTACCAAGCTAGAGTTCCTTTGGCTAAATGATAATGCTCTGTCTGGTTCAATTCCATCAAATTTAGGAAGATGTACCCAGCTCAAAGAACTTTGGCTAAATGATAATGCTCTATCTGGCTCAATCAGATTTAGGAAGATGTACCCAGCTCGAACACCTTTCGCTAAATGATAATGCTCTATCTGGTTCAATTCCATCAAATTTAGGAAAACTGTCATCCTTGGAGTTCTGGGATGTATCTCACAACAAACTCACTGGAACTCTTCCTGAAAGTCTTGGGCAGCTTTCCAAACTTGAAGAGCTTCGTATTTACGACAATTTAATGGAAGGCATTGTGAGTGAGAGTCACTTAGACAATCTGACAGTTTTAAGGTATTTTGATGCATCTGAAAACTCTTTAACCTTAAAAGTAAGTGCAAGTTGGACTCCTCGTGCCCAATTTGAAACACTTGCATTGAGTTCGTGGAAGCTGGGTCCCCAATTTTCTACATGGATCCGATCACAAAAATTCCTTCAGTATTTGAACTTGTCATTCACGGGTATTTTAGATACCATTCCACCTTGGTTATTCAACTCATCATTGGATATCGTAGACCTTTCTCACAATCAAATCCATGGTAAGAGCTCAAATATCTCTGAAGTTGTTAAGGGTTTATATGTGCATTATAGTCGAGCACATTCAATAGCAATTCCATCTTGATTATTCAACCCATCATTGGTCCACGTGGAACTTTCTCACAATTAATTTTATGGTAAAAGTTCCAATATCTCTAAAACTGTTAAAAGGTTTATATGCACACAACAATCAAACACATTCAATTGCCTACACACCCAATTAGAACTTAATTTCCAACTATTTATTTTCAGGAGGCATCTCTCACATTTTGTGTGAAGTGAAGAATGAAAATCAAGTTCTTCAATATGTGGATCTTCGGGAGAATTCTCTATCAGGAGAAATTCCTGACTGTTGGATGAATTACCCATTCATGTATCACATCGACCTCAACAGCAATAACTTCACTGGAAGCATTCCAAGGTCATTGTTTCATTTGGAAGGTCTGGACTATTTAGGCTTGGGTAATAACAGCCTCAGTGGTCCGATAACCTTTGACTTTGAATAAATAAGTTTGGAATTCAGAACCCTCCAGCGGAGTTGTGGTGATTTAGAGTTTGAATTGTTATAGTTTCTTAAGTTTTAAGTAATATTATTAAGAGTTTTAAATAAAAAGATATATAAATTAGATCAAAATTGTTTTTAGACGTGTATTACAAATACTATTTAAATTTCTTTTACTTCTTTTTTTTATTTTTTTTGTTTTATAATGCCACTAGTTTCTCATATCTTTCTTCTCTTTTGGATTTATAGTTGGTCTCAAATTGGGCATACTACATGTGCTTATCATTTTGCACTATGAACGATTAATTGATCACGAGTTCTCTCCTTTTATTTCACATATATTAATTATTAAACACTCAATTATATTATATGTAAATTAGATTGACAAGCTAACATATATTTTCTTTCTTTTTTTTCTTTGTACATTTCAACAGATTATCAATCCAGTTCGAAATGAAATATCTATTATATAAAATTATTTAGATTTTGAGATAAAATTTTTTACATACATGAACATTATAACAATTAATCACTTATCCTTGGAAATTAGGTTCTAATATGAAGGGGAGGCACAAAAAAATTCAGAATCCATAGAAGTACGTCGTATTGATACTTACATTCATTAGTTATTTTCACCACAATTTTTAACTAAAAGCATTTCAAACACATGTCCACAAGTATTGCAATAATTTATGCACAAAGTGCGAGGCATGTCCAAAATTATAATCACAATAAAATAATCAATAATTATACACTTACAAAGTTAAGACAATAAGATAATCATTACGTTACATGCTTATAATTAATTATTGTCTAAGAATCTGCTATTTCAAGCGTCGTTGGTTTGTGGTCCATCAAAAATAATGGGACTCCTATACCTAAATCATAAAATTCAGATCTAGTTCTAATAGGAACCAAAGAATTACACACTCAACAACTTTATAATAAAAAGTCAAAAATTAAAAACAAAATAAAGCATCTCTACCTAGCAAACCACCATTGCCATGACAGGTTGTAATACCTTCGCACATCGAAAGTCACATATGTAACCACATCTACTTAAAGCCAATTTCTAATATCGTTTGTAATGTTTGGAGGAAAATTTTGAGGCTAGTATCCATATACTCGAAAGCCAAGTAAAAAGTAGTCTTATCGTACTTGTGAACTTGTTCCTAAAAATTTCCTAAACTGTATAAAAAATTCTTCGATTAATAAATCATTCAAAAAACTTAAAAAGTTTTAAAAACCTGTCAAGAAATTATAAAGCTAATCACTCAATGAATATAATATCTCTACAAAAATGCACCAAATAGTTCCGAGATTTTCTTTCTAGGAAAAATCAAATCACCACTGGGACTTTTTGTCCACTACGTTTTCATATGTATAATTAAAAAAAAAAAAAGTACATACAGTCAAGAATCATCAACTTAAAAAGTTTCTTGCACACATGATCGCTTTTGCACCTCCCTCTCTTGTTCCAGCTAAAAGTTTGTCACACATGCCAAATCAAATGGATTAAAGGGATAGTAAATTTAGAACTCATGGACATACATTTTCTGGGCTCAAATGCCCAGGTATAACAAACATCGCAAAAAACAAGAAGATATTCTACCATCCTACCTGACCTGTCGTTATTTATAGTTTTCCATAGATCCCTTCTCTAATTCCAATTCCATTGATCAAAGTGACAAATCAAAGAGACATATTTGAATAAAGACATATCAAAAACTTCAAATAACACGATGGATCTCTTTTTGGGTTTGTGTGAAAGAGGTCAAGAGAAAGTTTGGTAATTGGCAATTAATATTAAAAACGAGATGATGGAGGAGGAGGACGGGCCACTGTGAACGTTGAGAGGAAGAGAAATTAAAAAAATTCTATATGAATTAGGTATTTTTGGAACTGTTTTCATCATCTTTATTGTAGTGGTATATAAGAAAAATATTGTAGTTGTTTGTTGAGGTGTTTTTAAAATTTTAAAATTCTTGGGGGTTTTTTTTATTATTAAATAAAAATCACCCACCACCATCGCTACCACTCTTTCCCTTCTTCTCTCTTCTCCTGCTCTCTCCTCCTCCTTTCTCCTCCCTCCCCTCCCCTCCTTTCACCCTTGGGTCAAAACTTGAGTAGACCCGTTTTTTAAAAACCCAATGATCTATATTGTACCACATCATTTGGTGAGATGGTATAGCATAATTTGGGTGATTGAATTATTGGAAATTTGGTTTATCCAAGTGTGACCCTAACCCAGACCAGTCCCCTTTCTACGATGAGATGCTTAAGTTGCTACCGACCCTATCTGATGAGATATGGTCGCTATCGAAGGTCTCAACCCTTTTATAAGAGAGGGAGAAGGTTCTGCAAGTGGGAAAGAAGGGAGAGGAGAGGAGGGTAGGGAAAGGGAGGAGAAGGAAGGAGGGAAGGGGAAGGGAGGAGAAGGAAGGAGGCAGGATGAAGAGAAAGAGAAAGAGGGAGGAGAGAGGAGGGAGAGGGTGGTGATAGTGTTAGACAGCAGTGGATAGTGGTAGAAATTATTTTATTTTTATTTTTTAATTGTATTTGAGAATCTATATCTATATAAATTTGAGAAGGAGTTTTTAGTATGGTTAAATCAAAATGCTTCCAACTCTTCGTTTTTTTTTTATAGAATTTTATTTTTTTTTAAAATTGTTATATGTCCTTTCATGCCTTTTGAATTTAAAAAGTAAGAAGTGGCTCCACTTATATAGGAATTTGGTTTGAAATCTATTAATGTAAGTCTAAATAAAAAGGAAACATCACCAAAACAACTAAAAGTAAAAAAGTAAATAATAACATTTTGTCTTCAACTTCGTAATTCTAACTAAGAGGGCAAATTATATAGAAAATGAAAAGGAAATAATATTAATTGGTCATGGATTTAAAAATTCAAGAATGATACCATTCATGAAACCTAAATTATGAAATCACTAACTAATTAACAAAGTACTACTACCATTTGGATATGGAAAATTTTGTTTGAAATCTTTATTTTTGACAAAAAAAAATAAAAACAACACCAATTCTACCAAAAATTTAAAAAAATAACAATGGAATATGGATTCAACTTCTCCTTTAAAATTTGAAATTATTCAATTCAAAATGTATATGAAAAATAATTAAATTTGGTGTTTTATACTTGATATTGAATTTTTATTTTTATATTTTACTCACCAAATTCACTTTGCAATAGTGTAACATTGACAATATGTTAAGTTATATTTTGAATAAAAATAAAAAAAAATTTGGACTCTCAGACCAATAGATGTGAAAAATGCTAATCACAATTACTACAAAAGGAAAATTTCAACACACATAGAGCAGTTATATACATTTATATATATGTAATTCTTATAAATGTATAAGAAAACTTTAGATTTTTTATAACGTAATATATCTAGAATGAAAAACTTTGATATCACTTTATTCTGATTGGATGGGTAAAAGAAAAAGGGAGAAGTAGAGGAAGTGGGAATGGAGAAGGTTGGCCATGCAGGATAGAGGTTGGGGGCTATCCAAGTGTTTGGGAGAATGATAAGGGGAACGGGATAAAAAATTAAGTTATGAGAATAGGAAGTTAGAGGCAGACATAAAGAAAATGGTGAGGAATTAAAGAATGATGAGAAAAGTCAAAAAAAGAAAGTGAATAACAAGATTGGGCGAAGAAAGGAGGGAAGAAATAAGGGAATTATGCGAATATGACAAAGATGGCAAAAAACGATAGGAATGATGACATTGCGGTAGGACCTGCGAAAGTCATAAGAGGCAGCGGATAGTCAGTTGGCAAATAAAAATGGGCAGAAAGGGTAATAGTTTTTAATAATTTAAAATTTTGCTTTTGTATTTTACAAAGATTTTTTTTGTAATCTATATTAAACTACATGAAAAACACTATTCTATAAAGCACTCAACAATTTTAAGGGTACAAGATGGGCGAAATTTTTTTTCTAAAATCGAGAAAAATGAATTAGTTATAATTTATGTTTTTATATTATAATTTTTTATATGTCAATATAACATGATATCTTTCGTCGGCTATTGATAAATAGGTTTTCAATTGCTCTATCATGTAAATTATTATAAATTAAATTATTTTATTCAAATTTTTAACTTATATTGATAGACAATAGGTAAAAAAATTTTGATTTCTATTTATTTAAGATGTTAAAATCAAGAAAGTCCATATTGTACTCATGAAGTAATTTTTTTGAACATGTTAAGCACAACTTCTTTGAAATTTGTAATCCTTTTCATATCCTCTATCAAGTACTTCAATGTATATGTATACATTTTTTTTGAATTAAAATATAAATCTGTGCATAACACTGATCAAAATTCTAGTATATGTATGAATTGGAGATTATTTTCCACTCTAGATTACTAGTTTTAACGAATAGTCCACACCTGTCACATTGAAACTTCAAATCTTAAATCAGAAAAAAGACTGACATTGCATCGTTGTCCATTGCTGACTTGTCAGTGTAATAGACCAAAAGTGTGTAATTCTTTCCGAGCCTGATTTTTGGCAGCCAAGTCAAATTCTCTGAGGCTTAACAATATGAGAAGCGCTGCTTGCTGTAAATTTTCATTGAAACATTATTGCTTAATATGCAGTTACTTCTTCCAACGAATTTTTATTACCCCCTTCAATTTAATTGTCTAGTGAGCGTAACTTTCAACTCCCTTTGAATCTCTTCTTATTAGAAATTCTAAAATCCGATCGACTCTAAATCATGGGAGAATGCCTTTAAAAAAAAATAAATATCGAAAAACTTGAAGAAAAATAAAGCAGTGCCCCAGGAAGTGTTTGAGGAATAACTTTGTTGCTATTACCCAATCACATGCTATGAAACAAATAGAAGGCTCTTATGCATGTCTGTATTGTGATTCAAGCAGTTGTTGAAATTTCAGCAATTTGGGTGATATTAAAAATTTGTGAGAGTTGAATACTTTCAGTGATTTAAGAATCGACCATGATGTTCGTGAGAGATCAATTTATGTAAAACTTTGTG